AAATAGGACCTGTAATAGAGTAAGTTGAGAATAACGCCATCCGCGAGTATGTGAATACAGGTGAGAATCCAGGTACACATTCTAAACTCACGGACAAATACGCAAGAACACCCCGAGAAAGGGCCGAAACATGAGCGCATAACAATATTGGGCTCAACGAATACTTTTAGCGCGTGCTGCCATCTCTCGATGAGTTTGAAGTACTGGAAGTAAGTGTCGGTTTCGCACGGGTCGTTTGGCGTACCTCTCTACGTCGTAAAGTCGTTCCATGACATAATTAAACAAATACACAAAAAAACAAATACCGCATTGGGGAGCATGTCAACTAAATGGAGATGTTTGTTGTATTCGGCAGTCCTTTCCACTAAAAAGTACACCATTAGTGATAATTGGGTTCGTTCCATCACATCTGATGCTTGCCCCAATATCTTCAAATGTGAAGCATTCCCTTAAATGTGCCTCAATATGCGGCTATGTGAACCGCAAGGAACAGGTCTGCGGTAGCACCACGCAATGACTAGGACGACATTGTGATCAAAGTAGTGATTCGGTGTAAGTGGCTTGGCGTGCAGAACCCAGAGAGACATATTGGCGTCAACATGTTAAAAAAATGTTTGGGAAAGGCGGTCAGAGTCTCATGCTTACCAAGGCAAAATTTGAGAAAATTTCCAGGAATGTAACAGAAATGGTTCAACCGTTATCCGTTAGTTTGGCCAGTGTTGAAATAAGCATGTTGTGTAGGCGCTCAAATGCAGCTCACTTCTCTAATGCGATGCAAACATCCAATTGTATAATCACAACAGCCAAATGTTCGTGAATACATTTTTGTTAGGCCAAAGCCTGTCGGGCGTAGGGATCACATCCATAAGGTGCACCTGTACAGTTTCGGTTATTTTCCTGTCACTTGTCTTTTTTGCCCAAAACTTCGGGATTAGCACAGAGCAGAGCCGACCTTCGTGCCTGAATGTAAAACCGCGGAAAAATTTAACGATATGTTGTGGAAATCATGTAAATGTTAATGGGGTTATGTTACAGACATAATCTAACGTGGCATCCAGGATACGTTCGTTATCTTCTGCAGCCGGCGCCCAGCGAGCTGTATGTGGAATTCACCTCTCTGTTGTACTGGTGCCACGGCGTTAGCGGCGACACCAGACGCTTGAGCTGCTTGGATGTGAGCTATGTGACGAGCCAGCGTTAGAGTTTTTCGGGTGTTTTCACTAACGTTCCCTTACCGAGGTTATGACAGGCGAAAAGCGGATATGATCTCACTTGTCCGCCGCCTCTGATGCACCAGACGTGACGGATGGTGCTCCACGATCTTGCACGTGCATGGCACGCCGAGGTTGTTTCCCCTGACCGGTTTCGTGCTGTTTTCCGAGTGTTGTTGGTTTTCCCGACCCAGCAATATCCGGCCTCTGCCGTGGGAACGGAGGAGCCAGGTGGGTCATCACGGCCCACCCTCCTCGTCCGTCTCTCCCCAAACGGCCGACCGGGCTGACTCACGCCTGCACGCGGGTGCGCGCGCGCCTGTCCCCTCCGCCTCGTGCGCCACCGTCGTCGCGGGTCACCGCACACGGCGGCGGGACCGGGAGTCGGGTCCGGCCGCCGGGAATGCGCGACGTTTCCGGCGCCGGCCGCGCCGCGCGCACGTCGCAGCGGCGCCGTGACGCGGCGGATTGGCCGGCAGCACCGCCCGCCGTGTGTGCGCCGTTTTTCGTCGCGCTGTTTGCGGACGTCGCGCCGGCCGGCCAGCCGCGATGCATCGGCCGGCCGGAATGCATCGGCTGTCCTTGAGGTACTGGTTTGCCACGGCGGCGGGCAGATTCCTGCCGCGTTGAGCGGGCCGATCGCGGCAAAAATGCGGCGCTGGTCTCCAGCAGCCCGCTGTCGCCGCCGCTGGTCTACAGCTGATCTACAGCGGCCTGCCTGCCAGCGGCCTCACTGCCGCTGAGTTACAACGGCCGCTGTCGCCGCCGCTGGTCTCCAGCAGCCCGCTGTCGCCGCCGCTGGTCTACCGCGGCCCGCTGTCGCCGCCGCTGGTCTACAGCGACCCGCTGTCGCCGCCGCTGGTCTACAGCTGATCTGCGGCGGCCTGTTGTCGCTGCCACTGATTTACAACGGCTGCTGTCGCCGCCGCTGATGTACAGCGGCCCGCTGTTGCCCCCCGCTTTCGCCGCCGCTGGCCTACGGTGGTCCGCTGTCGCCGCCGCTGGTCTACGGTCGACAGCGACCCGCTGTCGCCGCCGCCGCTGATTGCATCGCAGTCGACGCGGAAATCAGGGGTCGCCTTGTTGTGCCTAGATGTTTTTGGCGGAGCCTGTTATCAGGGAGACCTTTTTATTAAGCTGGTGCCCTCGATGGGGCTGATTTGTTCGGTGGCGTTGAGCAATGACCCCAAGGTATCGGTTTTGTCAATAGCAGATACGATTTATCCTGGGGAGGTGCGTGCGGCATGAATTATGGATGGATGGCTTAAGTTCAGCTGCCTTTTTGCGGTGCCGACCTACCGCAAGCTCTTGATCCGCCGACGGGTCTCAGAGATGGGGAAACCGCAGAGGGCTCAGGAGAACCCCACGACAATCGGAATGTGCAATGGGAATGAGCACATTCGGAAGCTGGCTCATCGCATACTTATGTGCAAACAATTCTGAAACAAAATATCATGAAGCCCACCAGACCGGTGTAATGATGAAACCGATCTGATTTTGTTTCTACTGATCCCTAATTGGTTTGTAATTAGCTTTTAATCCAGACTCTCAGAGTCTGTCGACATAAAACAAGATGCCACGGTGACGAACGCTATCTAGCATCTCTGCAACCAAGTCAGGTTTTCGGACTGAACCATGCTGTTTAACCTCGTGAAGACATGCCGCTGGAGCCGCATCAGCTGGGCCTGCGGTTATCGCCCGAAAAACTGCACGTTCCATGTGTCCCACTACACCGCGAACCAGCGCCAAAACACGACTCGCGCGGTCGCTTCCAAATCTTAAGTCCACAAATCCGTGGTCGGCGGCGCCGCACCGAACACGTGAGCCGGCTGGACTGCAGGAAAGCCGAGCCGCGTCGGGCGAGGTGACGGGTAGCATGCGAGCTGGCATAGCAGACTGAGAACCTTCTCCTATCCCTTAGCAACTAAACACTCTTGCCTGTGGGACTTACTAAAGCACTGACGGTAATTTGTTCCGTATAGCAAAGGCGACAGCACTGGCGCCCTGGGAAACCACGTGGTCTCGCCTGCCACCGGCAGAGGGATGCGCCACCCTGTGGCACGCTGGCACATAACCCTGAGCGAGGCGGCGCGACGGCGGTGCGTCTGTGCCGCGTCTGTGCCGCGACCCCCAGCTGTGGCGCCGCACCCAGCGCAGCTCCATCGGCGGCCCATGGTTTCTCAGTGGGCCAGTGCTGTGGCCTTTGTTACACGGAACAAATTACCGTCAGTGCCCTAGTAAGTCCCACAAAGAGTGTTTAGTTCCTAAGGGATAAGAGAAAGTTCTCTGTCTACTATGTACTAGGTCGTAGGTCTGTCTTCTATCTACTAGGTCGTTCCACCCAAAACGCTCTTGGTGCGGTCTGGCAGCTGCTTCAACAAATTGGTTGTACATCCACGATGCGTCAGTGGGAAGCTGACCTGCGTGATGGAGATTGCGGTAGGAAACAGGTGCACATAACTGCGTGCATAAGTTCTTCGTAGTCCAAATGAGCTTCGCGTTGTGAAACAATCCCAAGCCTGTATGTTGCAAGTCATGGCTATTCCTGTTGCCGCTATTTGGTCGCATGGCCGCACAGCAGCCAGCCAGTGTCCGCTGGAATGACAACGTGCTTGAGGTGGACTGCCTGGCGCGGCGACCGTCCCGTATTTGGTGTTAGCGGTCGCATTTTGCCCCTGGTGCGGAGGCTCTTGGTGACTTTGGAATGGCGTGGTCACTCCGGCGTCGCTTTCCTCATCACGAAGCGGGGCTGAATGTCCGCACGAGTTAGGGGCGTGCGGAACGGCCAGAGCAGCAGCGGCTGTGATATGTCGGGCCCCGTGAAGGTGGCGCCATGGACAGATCTGCCTGAGGTGTCCAGGCCACCCCGGTGCCGCGTCGACAGCCGCCCCGGGCAGTGCGTGCCGAGGGCAGCCAACTGTCCATGCTTCTCTTCCATGGCGCGCCGCCCCCCCCCCCCCAAGGTCGTTGCAATTCGTTTGCTGTTTTTCATTCATAAAGAAGATGATCCAATATGTCGTGGGTAGACTTGTGGCAATTATTTTGAACATCACATCGCTTCTCACGAGAACAAGAGTCCATCCGAGAGTCCATCCATCTGTTCATCTGCGAGTCCCCGCGAATCTTCGGCGGGCGTCCCCAGTCAGCTGGCGGATCGGCTGCTCATCGGGCTAGCGTGGGACCGCGGCGGGCGCGACACGGGACCAGCTGCCCAGGGGGTCCGCGTGGGACCGCGGCGGGCGCGACAGGGGACCAGCTGGTCAGGGGGTCCGCGTGGGACCGCGGCGGGCGCGACACGGGACCAGCTGATCAGGGGGTCCGCGAAGGACCGCGGCGGGCGCGACACGGCGCGCCCGCGCGGGACTCACTGATGCCATTGGATTCCGGCGCCGTGCGTAGGACCCCCTGTAGGCAGGCGATGAGCATAATTGTGACGGTTGTGCTGCGTTGGCAAGCTTGCCCTGATTTTTTGCCACCGGGGGTTGTATCAAATATCGTGACACGGCCGTCGGTAGTTTCCCGGTGCTCAAATTGTGACTTGTCATATATTTTTTAAAGTGAATGTCGGTGTTCTTCCAAAATATGCTGTAGCTGGCCCCGTTTTTCTTTTTACGTGTCACGTTCAGAGTACCGTCGTGGTTTCGTAGCATCTTTCCCGTGACGGGCCTGTGGTGGCGCCTTTCGTAACATCTTTCTCATGACTGACCTGTGGCGGCGCCTGACCGGCCCTGCCGGCCGCCAGCTCCGTCGTCCCATCCGCGGTCTCCTGACGTGACGTTCTCCCGGCAGGCTGCTGGACATCTGCCACGGCCAGCGTTCTGAGCAGGGCAACCAGCTGATCCTGGTGCTGGTGTTCGAGCACGTGGACCAGGACCTGGCGGCGTACCTGGAGAAGTGTCCGGCACCCGGACTCAGTCCGGCCGTCATCAAGGTGCGCATGCCGACTGCCGCTGGGGGGCTGGTCACGGGGTAGGCGCCGCTTGAAGTGGGCAGTGTCGTAGTGGCCCACCTGTGGGGCAAAGTTTGCGAGTTTTCATGAATTGATCATCCTCTGGTTTGGTAGTGGTATGTCGGTTTAGGATTTATTTGCGTCTTATTCAGACCAGCTTCAGAAGTGTGGGCTGTGATCGTGCTATGCAGTCACATTTCTGGATCTTTTGGTATACATATTGTGTTCTGTTGAATACGTAGTTTTGTGAGGCTGTAAATACATACGCAAGACAGCCGTAAGAATTAACCTGCGAATTCCACTCGGTTGCTTCTGACCGGCGCGTCGCCTCCAGAACATGCTGTACCAGATCCTGGCTGGTGTGGACTTCCTGCACAGCAACCGGATCGTGCACCGGGACCTGAAGCCGCAGAACATCCTGGTGACCAACAGCGGCGACATCAAGATCACAGACTTCGGCCTCGCCCGGATATACGACTACCAGATGACGCTTACCAACGTGGTGAGTGTTTGTGTCTGTATATGTACAGCGGCCAGGGCTGGCCCACTTGACCAGCACGGAGCGGGCGCCCGCTGGCAAGGCTCTTTGAGAATATTGGCCTTTAGGCATATGATAAGCGAAAGCCGCCGTGAAGCGGATTGTATACCTGAAACGAACGTTGGTGGATAGCGGGGTGAATGATCCTGGTCATGTCCCGGGAGCTGCAAGAAGTCGTCAGAGCCGGTCCTCCCGCTTTGTTATTGGTCGTCGCCCTCCCGATGTCCTCGCAGTGAGTTATGTCTGACTTCACTTTAAAGCGTTCACCTGACGTCCGTGCTCTTGCTCGCTTTGCGTGCCCCGCCCGGCACGCACGGCCGCGCGCGCCGCCGGGCCGCACGTGTTCCGTGCGGCGGTGCCCTGAACGCGCGCCGCTCCCGCAGGTGGTGACGCTCTGGTACCGGGTCGCACGTGTTCCGTGCGGTGGTGCTCTGAACGCGCGCCGCTCCCGCAGGTGGTGACGCTCTGGTACCGGGCGCCCGAGGTGCTGCTGCAGTCCTCGTACGCCACGCCCGTCGACATCTGGTCCGTGGGCTGCATCTTCGCCGAGCTCTGGCGGCGGACGGCGCTCTTCTGCGGCAATAACGACGCCGGCCAGCTCGCCCAGATACTCAAGTAAGCTGCCGGTTGGTCAACCCGCTCACGCATTAGAGTAAGCAGTCTGTTGGTCAGCCCGCTCACGGAGTAGAGTAAGCAGCCTGTTGATCAGCCCGCCCACGCAGTAGAATAAGCAGTCTGTTGGTCAGCCCGCTCACGCGCGAAAGGAAGCAGCCTGTTGGTCAACCCACTCACGCAGTAGAGTAAGCAGTCTGTTGGTCAGCTCGCTCACGCAGTAGAGTAAGCAGTCTGTTGGTCAGCCCGCTCACACAGTAGAGTAAGCAGCTTGTTGGTTAGCCCGCCCACGCAGTAGAATAAGCGGCCTGTTGGTCAGCCCGCTGCTCACACAGTAGAGTAAGCAGTCTGTTGGTCAGCTCGCTCACGCAGTAGAATAAGCAGCCTGTTGGTCAGCCCGCTGTTCACACAGTAAAGTAAGCAGTCAGCTCGCTCACGCAGTAGAATAAGCAGCCTGTTGGTCAGCCCGCTCACGCGTGAGAGGAAGCAGCCTGTTGGTCAGCCCGCTCACGCAGTAGAGTAAGCAGCCTGTTGGTCAGCTCGCTCCACGCAGTAAGCACTTCGCTTTGGATTGCTTGTGCCGGATGTGGTAGCGGTCTTGCTGGAATGGGTCCCACACTATGTCTCTTGATCATCGACCGAGGCTAGGCGACGGATTACGGAGGTGACAGTTTGGTCAGTTCTGCTAGGCACCAGATGGTGAGGCTTGATCTGATTTGACTAGCCTACACGTAGCCGTCAGGTGTTTGGTTGGTACTGGTTTGCCATTGGAATGACAACAAGCTTGCCGTTGATGCTTCTGATAAGGTTATGTTTGAGGATCTTTCGTTGGATATATTTGTCTTGTTAGCCGGTTCTCGGGGTTGTAGCAGGTCGGCTTTTACTAAAATATTCTTTTCGTGTCACGCATCGTCGCACTCCACTGGAATTTGGGCCTTAAGGTGTTATCTGCGTCGTATCAGAGATTAAAGTAGGGGTCGTTCATTTTAAGGCGAAGTTTCGCCTTGAAGTTGGTCCAACAATGAATTGTAACTGGTTTTTAAACGAAGAGACTTGTGGTGTCTGCGACATGCGCTGTTTTCCAGCAGTCGTCATGCGTCCGGAATGACAAGTGTTTTGTGCTTCATGCTATGCGTCGCTGCACGAGCGTCCGAGCGAACCTGCGCCGCTGTTTCAGTATCATGGGCACGCCGCCCGAGTCGGACTGGCCGGAGAACGTGGCCGTGCTCTGGTCGTCGTTCCATCACCGGGACGGCATTCTGGACAAGGTTGTACCTGAGATCGACGAACTCGGCAAGGACCTGCTCCAGGTGGGAGTTCGGACGTCGCTGGTCTGGCCAGCGGCCATCGTGCCGGTGTGCTGTGATCGTTAGAGGAGCGATGGCTTCACCGATGGATGGATTTTGGGCAGGGGCCACTTCCTCATGGAGCCTTGCACCTCCCCTGGCGGTCCTTTCCCCGTCCCTGAACAACAGTTTCCTCCCCGTCCGCTCCCCCCGTTCCCTCCGAACGTTACTCGGCCGTCCCTGGCGTCGAAGCTGACAACGCGCCTGCAGAGCTCGCCAAAGACCGGCGCTGCGAGTTGCAGTTCGCCATGCTCTGCAGACCGCGGCTTCCGGCTGATCTGGTGCGTGCGTCCGCCGGTGTATGTCAAACATCACTTGGCACAATCATCTCATCCGCCCTTCCTTCCTCATCATCGCTCCATCCTGCATGCTGGGGACGCCCCGTTTATCGTGACAAGCTCCATGCCCCAGCCATGTGTGGGCTAAGCGCCCCCTTGTTGGGCTCCGTCCGGGTGCCAAGCACATACCCCGTATAGGGCTTCCTGTGGAGGCTAAGCCTTGGCGGAGGCCCCCAGTTGTATGCAGTTTTACAGCATTTTGCACAATTATCCGCCGTGCTTTATCCCATCACCCTGAAATGGTCACTACCGGTCGTCATAGAAGCTGAAAGGGCTCTAATCCAAACGGAGCCAAGCATTCGTCTCGTGCGGCGCCGCTGACGGCCGCCTCTTCTGCAGCGGATGCTGTCGTTCTCGGCGAGTCGGCGCATCACGGCCGCCGAGGCGCTGCTGCACCCGTACTTCGACGACGAGCGGATGGCCGTGAGCTCGCCGGCGGCGGCGCTCTCCTGCTCCAGCGCCAATGACTCGGGCACGTCGAACGCCAGCAGCACGTGAGCGGCCGCCGCCGCCGTCGCCACCGCCGCCCGGGACACAGTGCTGCCGGACGGACGGACGGACGGAGCGAGCCGCGCCGGCCCGCTGCGACGCGGTGCCTTCCTGCTGAGCATAATTCCGAGCTGCCGCATAATTCCGAGTTACTTGTTGATACGTCTGGCATTCCGAGTGCGGACCAAGTGCCTGGCGATGAAGTGGCAACGCCTGTTGTACTGTGAGGTGTTTTGCGTGGGCCGCGCGGGTGGCCCTGTCTGTTGGCGGGGTGGGACTTCGGGGCGTGGCGCGGTACCCGTCCAATCGACGCCGTCATACCTCACAAGCTGCCATGCGCCAGCGCCGCCCGGCCGCGGTCTCGGCGGCGCCGGCGGCCTCTCGCGACCTGCGTCCGCCCGCCGCCGGCCGCCGACCGACCGACCGGCCGGACTTTTGTACATAGTGTCGCCAGAGAGACGTACGCTTGCGGTCACCGACGGTAGCGTCGTGCCTAGTTTCTGTTTACCTGTTGGACCGTCTCCGAGCCGTGGCGGGGCGGTCGCCGCGGAGCGCGCGCCGGCGGCTCTCGACCGGTCCGGCCCGCGCCACCCCTCAGCGGCTAGGACCGCGGACCCTAGTTGTAGTCTCCTCTGGCTTCGTCTCCTAGTCACATGTCTCACTTTGCCGCCACGGAGCGAAGGTCGGCTCTGGTACTGCCCACTCGGTCCTGTCCATGTTTCTGCGCGTCCAGCAGACCGCCGTGTGTCCCAGGTGCTACCGCGCAGACGCTGCGCGCAGGAGCTGGAGCCGGTACTCGTACTTAATATCAGGCTGCTAACATATCAACTCCAAAGCTGCCTTAAACATTGTACGCCAAGGCGCTGGTTTACGAGTGTGCAGTTTGTACATTGTACATGGTTTTCGAGATGAATGTTGTGTAATTTGTACATGCTTTGTTTGAGACGTTATATATTTCATACAAATATTTCGGGAACGGATTGGTTTCACTGCCAATGGCGATGGCGTGAGAATGCGCCGTAATGAATCAGCCGGGCCGGAAGAGGCTTATTCTGGGCAGGTGCGTAACGTTGGTGGAGCGCTGCTCCAGTTCAGTGGAACAAATAACCGGGGTGGCAGCGGGGTGGGGGGTCGTGCTGACCTTCACCCGTCAATGTCATGCTGAGCACCGGAGCCTGCGCCCGGCCAGACCCCAGGTCTGTGTCTGACTGCATCTCACCGTCATTCGTAGCCGGGTCGGGGCTTCCCAACGCTGCGTTGTAGACAGAGTTTTCCTCAAGCTGCGAATGCATCCATTGCGTTCGTGCTTACGCACCAGTTTCCCGTGGTCCCTTATCCATTTTCGGGGACGACACTGGTGGTTTTAGGTCGATGCACTGTGGACCTAGAAATTGATGCGCCCTCGAGCTCCAGCCGTCACTCTTGGTACAAACTTCATGCGGACTTGGTGTGGCACAATGGACGTGGCATGTACTAACATGCCCCCCCCCCCCCCGTCCCCCCACAGGGTGTTCGGAACAGCCAAATACACATCGTCGGTGGGGACGTCGTACCCATGTATGAACACGTAATATTGACGAGTCGTATCTAATCTAAGGCCGATTAAGGCTGTTTCGGCGCTGGAATCAGTTTAAAACGTCATTTTGTCATGTTTGGATGCCGGACCGGGAAATAAATGTGTATTGCGCCATGTGAGGAATACCGTCTGCCTAGAATGCGAAGCACAATGTAGTCCTTCACGGTAGAGGCGCGGAAGTGCGTCACGAAGGTCTGCATCATGGTCAGATTTACACCTCGCCCCCGTCGCAACGCTATGGGCAAACACGACGCAGTCATGGAAGAACCAAGATGCTACCCACCTCACACGGGAGAACAGCGCAAAGCTGTCACGCGTAATCAGGACACTCATGGCAAAGGAGACGACTGTGGATTTTAAGCAATGTTTCGGTCGAACCACATCTATAACTGTCAGAGTCCCGTCACAGATTTTGCTGACGGAGCGAGGTTCATACGCTCCCGGCAGGCGTTACGTCGTTGGGCCAGCACGGGTTTCACACGAACTATTTTGGTCGGCGAGTACCGTCCGAGCCTGGCCTGTGATATGGACTGGCTCCTCGGCGAAAGGCACGCAGCGCGACGGCGGCCCGGCTCGGGAGACTTGCTGTGGGCTCAAACGGGCGACCAAACCGGTGCTTCGTAGTTCTAATCGAGTCAAAATCTAATCAAAAATAAACCGGTGCTTCGTGGTTCTAATCCAATTCCGCGCGCCATTCCCTGCAGCGCTACTTGTAACGTGCTCGCTTCTCGTCGAATTCCCGGTGCCGAGTCGTGACCTGTCTCAGCTCGTAGCCCTGTCTCACGCACTCATGCTCCCATGAGCATGCAAGCTTACATGGATGATAATCCGCTGAAACCACCTGAACTGATCCATACGTATCAGTTCAGTCATCAAACTAAGCCGACAACCTGCCACCCTTGGATCCGCAACACACACGGACAGATCGCTTTCCGACGTCTTTATAAGATCTGCACGCAACCCACGTGGTTCACAGACAGCCATGGACGGAACATGGACGGAATCGGTGCCTTAGCGTGCATCGCACCTTAACGAGATCAACACGGGCACGTGACTAGGTGACACGAGATCAGCGAGGGCACGTGACTAGGTGACAAACAACAGCCTGGCGGCGGTCTTCGAGGATGACGACCGGTGCACCGACCGCCACCTTCACGGCACACCGATCGGCCTCTCGCCGTGTGCGCAGCCTGACCTGCCCGACACCAGACCGCCGCCCGGCCCGGGCGGGGCCCGGGACGGGAGCGGCCCGGAGCGGGGCGGGGAGCGGCCTGGGGCCGGGGCTGGCGATCGATCTGACGCTGACTGGCGGCTCCGGCTGTGGCGCGTCGCTGCCAGACCGCAGCCGCCGCGATCAGCTGTGCGGCCCGGCACCGCTCGCCGGGCACCCGTGAACTCTCGGCTGGGGTACACGGGGAGGGGAGGGGAGCCAAGCCAGCTCGATGGCGGACCACGAGACCGCCGCCTGCGCCGCTGCGCCGGCTCAGGAATGGTCCTGACGGCGCAGAAAGACAAGACAAGGAAGATTGAGTCCAACAATGTTCTCGGGAGAGAACCAGGCACAGCTCCAGGGGAGCCTTGAGGCGCCAGGCCGGGACCAGTAGAGATCAGTTGAAACCCATCCCAGACGCTCAAGGTGACAGACACAGGTGAGGCCCTAGGGCCGCGATCGCGCGTGTCCTGGGGCGGGACCGACACATCCATGTAGACCCCACCAAACAGTGCTGAGAAGGCGGCGGTGCGGCCTCCGGCAAAGGCGTCCGGACAGTCTCCGCACGGTGCCGCCACAGCAGCCCGCTATCGCCTCAGCGCGCCGCCCGGAGGATGAGGCGGCGGCGAAGGCCGGGATCAGGCGCCGACAGCCGCGCCGCTAGGAGTCGCCGGTGCGGATGATCTTCAGCAGGGACGGGATGTTGTTGCTCTTGAAGGCCATGCGGCAGCCGGTGATCACGGCCGACTTGGGCTTGCCGACTGCGGGCCGGCGGCGGAGGGTCAGCGCGCGGCGCCCTCGGAGCTCGGCCACGGCGGCGACGGCCACACCACGGCGGTGTCGGCCGGCAGACACCCTGCCTCGCTTTAGCATGGGAGCTTAACACGTAGGTACGTCGGAGAAAAGTGACTCGAGGTGTGGGGGAGACCACCATCGCACAGCCGACATTAGCAAGCACAATCCGTACGCAAGACCGGACAGTAGCAGACCGGACACTTACATTTCCCAGGACTTGAGGCACGTCAAGTCAATCTGAGTCAATCAAGTCAATCAAATTGACATTCGACCGAAACTAAGACAGCGTAGCCGAATCAAGAAACGCAACGACCGTTTACGGCCGGGCTAGCGTTCCACATATCGCCCGTGTAAATACTACACTGATACACTGAATGTTTGATTAACCCTCTGCAACGTACTATAATAAATGAATGAAGCACAATTGTAAGCGAGGAGTGCCGCAAAGCACTGAGCGGCTAATGAGCCACATCTGCCCCACCTCTGAGCTTGCCGGCCTTCTGGATGGTCTGGTTGACCTGCTTGAGGCACGTCATGAGCTCGTCGTGGTTGTTGCAGCGGATCTTGTAGTCACTGATGAGGTCGCGGTTCACGTCGAACAGTTCCATGTACCAGCGCTTCATCGACCTCCTGCGGCGCCGAGCGCGGCAAACTCAGCGCACCGACTCGGCCGGGCGCGGGCCGCGGCCAACAGCGGCTGGCGGCGCCGCTCGACGCGTCCCACTCGTCGATAACAGCATAACGCTATCGACATACACGCGTCGCTAGCATGTGAAAAAGGTCTGCAAATTCTTCACTAGCAAGACATGACTTTCCCGACTAAGGCCTCAGAAAAAGAAGAGTCTCCACCGCGGGTGGCACGACCACCGGGTCCTTGCCGCCTTCCCCAGTACACTGAAGCTTACCGTACACCTACCACACACTAAAGGATAGCCGAGCGTCATTGCCGACTCATTAACCTGTGGTCACACAACCACAATGAGCCGGTTTGTTGGGGCTGACAGGCATCGGGCGGTGCCGGGGACGGGGGAATGCCCTGGCATTAGTGGGACTGACGTGTCAGGTGATGTCGTGGACAGATGACCTCGCAAAAGCCGGACCAACATGTCTCGGTAGTGTCAGGGGAATGACCTGGCGTTAGCGGAACTGACACGCCTCGGGTGTTCTCGGGAGAGGGGGAGGGGGAGGGGGGCGGATGACCTGGCGTTAGCGGTACTGACATGCCTCGGGTATTCTCGGGAGGGGGGGAGGGGGAGGGGGGCGGATGACCTGACGCTAGCGGTACTGACATGTCGGCCATGAGACGCGCGTCCTCGGCGCGCACCACCAGGCTGCGGATGATGCCCGAGTAGTCGGCCATCTCGGCGCTAAGCCGCTCGCGCACTGACTGGTACTCCACCACCTTGGAGAGCGTGCGCTCCAGCTGTTCCAGCTCGGCCGGGAAGTCGGCCTCCGACTGAAACACGACGTCAGCTGTCGGCGCGGGCGGAGCGGCCTCGCCCCGATAGCCTCCTCGGAACCCGCCGCCCGAACATGCGGCCGACAGCGGAGAATGAACAACGACTCACAACCGCACATCTCCCAGCTGTCCGGCTGACTGCGCTTCGGGCAGAAGCACACCCCTCCAACGCAAGCGGCAGCTTCTCCCTGTTGCGTTCATAGTGTCATGCATCAGCCACCAAACGGCTCCCCCGACGGCCGGGCCCGACCAGGAGCACTTCCCCTACGGCGATTGTTACACAGGTCAGTTAAATGGATCTCCAGTTCTCAGCAATTATTTATTACGTAACACGAATGATCTCAGCAACTAAGCTCACCCCATGACGATGCGAAAAATTGCATTAAGCGGCGATACCACAGAGCTTAAGCACACATGTGCATCCACGCGGCAGCCTTGACTACCCCATACATAATACAAGCCCCAGCCATCCCACTACATCCAGCTGCGGGCTGAACACGGGGCTGGGCTGACCTGTATGTCCTCGGCCTTGAGGAAGGTGGCCAGCGCCTGGATGATGTCGCCGGCCAGCTCCATGTCGTCCACGCGGATCGTCACCTGGCCCGACTGCTTCATCTGCAGCTGCAGCGGCCGGCACGTGCGCAGCGACGACATCGTGACGTCAATGTCGCCTGGCACGGCCAGCTCCTCCAGCAGCAGGAAGTTCTGGTTCAGCCACAGCACCATCTGCCGGGCACGGCGCGACGTCACCGCGACATCGAACCTGCCGCCGCCGCCGCCGCCGCCGCTGCCAACTCCACCATCCCGGCACAAATGCCACATCTGATGTCAGTAAACAGCCGATAAACTCCTGGTTGCTCGGCACTGCGGCCCTATAATGGCAATCACCGACCTTCCGTGTCGCACGAGGCATTCTGGTCAAAAGAGGATATCAAA